TATGAGCGGTTTTGGACACACTTAGGACGGACATTTTCATTTACTGCATACACTCTCTAAAGACAAATATCTCTGGATTAATATTATTTCCCTTGTGGTGTGGTTTGTTTGCTAGTGGCTGACAAAAATTACCAGACTTACCTTTCAAAATACTTGTCATCCTACACCTATGTCCAGTAGAGTGCCGCTTCTTCAACGGATACTGAGAATTTGGCGAGAAGACGGAGTGAGATGGACAATTTACAATGTATATCGATCATTGGAATCATAATGGCTCCTCAAGTTCTTCTGTGCACTTGGTGGTCAATCTTCGATCTGGAAGAGGAGATCAGATGGACGTGGACTCTCCAGATGGACACGAACACCATCGGAGACAGTCTCACAGTGTGAACCTATTTCCTTCTGTATCTTGACAGCGAGAATCAACCCGAATTGCGGGAATATTTCAACTGTACAGGGCTACACAACTGCGAACAACACAGATCAAATGAGTAAGGAGAATTTGTACAAACGACGATAAGGAGTAATTGGCCAGCCAGATGGCCAGCTGTTTACAGACTACTGCGTCTTCGATGATTTGTCGACTTGATTCAACAAAGGAGAATCCACGTGTTGACATCAGATGGGCTTACGAAGAATCAGGTATGCGTTATCTGAGCCTCAAGAGAGTGTAGATTTAACCAGCCTGTTGGATACAGAACGGAGAAGGGGATCAGGTGTAGTTGCAGACCACTGTGTATTGACGCGAAGCTACGAGATCGAATGAAAATAACCCAAAGGAGATAGGGGAAAAACACAACTTTAACGATGATGGCTTTACTCCAAACTGGAGTTCAACACTGAGAAACAGAAGGAAAAAGCTAAGAACGACACTTTCACAGCATACGTCGGGATAAATCGAAGACATGAACCAACACCACAGGGAAACCCACGTGGAAGAACACTGGATTCTACGAAGTGACATAGAAGCATACCGACATATAGGCACCTTAGTCAAGATGAATAGGCATGACGTGCAATGTCTGACCACGATCACGTGCAGACTGATGGAGATGGGAAGGGTGGAGGAGCAGAAGATGAATCAATTCAGAGATGAGTGGCGAAAGAGAAGCAGAGTACTAAGGGGTAGAGTAAGGACTAGTGCTAGGTGAGACGAAAGAGAATTCTGTGACACATTGAGAACTGAATTGGGGCAGATTGCAAGTCAGGGAATCATCAAATAACCAGACGGCTAACTGGGAATAGGTCAACGCAGTCGGTGCCAGTAATGATGTTGGTAGATACGGAAATTCCATCCCTTTTAAATAGTGAGAATTATTGAAGTGTATAAAGTTACTGTAAGCCGCGAATGCAATTTGACCGGATGGAATACCTACAAATTTCCGGCAAACTGCGCTGAATTCTCAAACGACATCAACTCAACAGTTTTACGTTAATCCTATATGCAAAGACTCTGAAACAACAATGCTTTGGGAACTATTCAATGCAGAGACATGATTAGTATGAAGCTGTCTACGTTCAGCGTTTGTTTTCTTGTGTGGTGGATAGCGTTATGGAAGTCTGCTTTAGAAGTGTGAAGACGTGTTTTTCAAGATTATGATTTTGAAATTAATTCATCCATAATTGCACACAAGGGTTGTGGCATACAAATTAAAGCCAACTAGTTATCAGAAGTATTGGTAACGACAAGATTTCTGATGAATGTGCAGAGAATGGATGTAATGAAGAAGACAATTGATGCTTAAGAAAGCCCACTTTTACTTACTTATTCATGTTGACAATTTCGTTTCAACTACATGCATTCGGCAAGTTCAAGAATAGAAAGTTCAGTTAACACGTGGTGGAAGAATCAAGATATGACTTCATTCTTCTGATACCAGTATGTAAATCAAAACTAGTCAGTACATGGAATAAGATCCTAAGTATCATCACTAGTGTCAAGCATGTGCTTCTATGTAGTTCAGGAACATGTAAAGCGTGCCACTATTTTTATTCCCGAAAGGTCACCACAGGCTTCTATCAAAAACAGCTCAGTACTTAACATCGGATGCTCAAGAAGAAAGGAAAAGCAACAAGGGACTCGCATACGCGGCAAACAAGACTAGAATCTATTATTCAGCCTATGAATATGCAGAAGAAATTAGAATTGGATTGGAGACACACTAAGGAGTCATTGAAATGAAATCAGACGCTGCTTACTTGGATGAAAATCAACGTTGTCATTATACTTTTTTTCTGTAACTGAATGTATCCAGTGTATTGGATTTTAGCTAAATAAATGCCTCAGACAAACTAAGAATGAAGTGGCTGGTAAATGTTTTAACTTGCCACTCACTTATTTTTCATTGACTGAGAATAGGCAGATGACTAGTTCTCATGTATTATTCACTTCAATTAACAGCAAGGCTAATGTAAAGACCATGGTGGTGCAAATATCTCACTGCTTTCATATAAAATGCGCTTCAGCACTTTATCTTTTAAATTATATTCGGAAACCCTAAGGCCTGTATCTAGTTTATCTATCTCAGGTTAAATAGACTAAATCAAAACTCATAAATAACATGATAATAATGTCTAATATAAAGGAGCATTAAGGCGAATATTAATTTATATATTTAACATAAATGAAGAAATACTATTACTAAGTTATTAAATTAATAAAATTTTGAAGGAAAGCAAATGTAATGTAATTATTAACTGGCGATTTAAAAGTACACAAATAATAATATGTCAGTGATTTATGGTCAGGTTAACTAAAAATGGACTCCCAAGCCATTAATATCATCTGGAATTAATGAATTAGCCATCATCCATTCTGTCTGCAGAAGATTAGACAGTAGGCCGCAGCTGCTTCACTAATGTTATATTTTGTTTATTCAGTAATGTCGTGTTTCTTATAATGCGTTTTAATGTCTATGAAAATAACTGGAGATTGTTGCTGTGATTTCTTTAATCTATTGTTAAGATACAAGAAGCCGTTCACCTTTATTGTATAATTTTGGCACTATGTATGTATGTGTATATGTCATGTGGTTACTCTTATTTTCATGTTTTGGCCCAGGTATGAGAATTAAAAGGAACAAAAACGAAAGAAAAAAGGTTGCCACACTTTTTCAGAATAATAGGCAAATATGAAGCATCCCTGTAAGAGTTAAGTGTTTGGTTCAAAGCGTCATTACATCCACGTCTTAACCTTTAACCTTCAATCGCCACATATAACATTAGTTTTACTTAAACTTTATTTACTAATTTCACTTCATTATAAACTAATTTTGTGTGAAGACGACAGTGAATAAATAGCAGTGGCTAAAATCTTTCCCCTTACAACCAGGTAGATGAAACAAACAAATGTCGACTTCCAACATTAATCGGCAAATAATGCTTGAAGCTAGGGAGATTTAAAATTAAATAAGAACTCAGGGAAATAATATTTCTTTTATAGAATAAAATATATATTTAGGGCTTAGTTAACCTATATGTTTTCTAAATAACTGAAACTCTTAATCCAATAGGTTACCTCTTTATAGTACAACGTATTAAACACAAAGACGTTAATTTATTCATTCATAACCTTCAAGCAAGGTCGCGGAATTGATTTGGTGGTATGACGTGACTTTCTTTATTTATAACTTTGAAGGGTTCCTTAAAATACATACTGTATTTAAAAAGTCTTTATTGCATTTTCTATTTTCATTACTACTCATGCTAATGCTATTCTCACTGGGCACATTTATTTCACTAACTTTTAAAAAATGTAAGTAATGTAATATTCTGTCTTAAAACTTAAACCCCAGAATATTTAGTTTTGACATTTTCAATCTTCAGTCGAACACTAATTACAAACAGTCCTTTTTTGAATGTGACTTCCTATACTTACTCTTTTTATGTCCAACAATATTTTTATCTTCATTGCAGCACTTATACTAATCACTTATTATCTTGATGAAATGGGGGTTCGACTAATGGTATTTGCGTTTCAAGGCATACACCCCATCCACTGCGGTCACAGTTTTTTCTCTCTGCATGCTCAATGTATATCCCATTGTCGTGAATAACATTCTCCAAACGTACCCTGAGAGAACCACAAGTCTCTTCGTAGATCAAGCTAGAGATGCATTTCATACCACCACGACAAGTTAGATGGTGGATAGCGAGCTTTGTGATACCTTCAGTGTTGTCAAAGGGAACCTCATAAAAGTGTTCAGTTTCTTCTTTTGCCCAATCTCTCATCATCTGTGCAGTGACTAGACATGACTCAAAGTTAACTGCTGAAAACCGATAAAAGTTGTAACAACAGCAAAACATAATGCAAGTGCACCTAACTGACCTATCCATGTAAAAGGAAGACACGCATCCTTGAAATAACAGTAAACAAAAAGTTCCAGACTAAAATACCCTGGATAAGTAAGTGCTTGCGCCACTCAGCTAGCTTCACGTAAGCTGCAAAAAGAGTTATACTCAACTTGTGTATTATATTAGAAAGAAATTCAAATGCAATTGCTCAACTATGTATTTATTATAAAATGTAATCAAAGAATCATCACAGTCACAGAATATGATTAAGAACATCATTTTCCCATAAATAATACATTTTAGGAAAATCAGATTTCACTTGTTCGAAGAGATATCTAGAAAACTTTTAAAATTTGCATAATAGTGTTTATTTTTTCTGTCAACGCTTTAAAATAAGGACGCTAACTGAAATGTGTTCTTTACTAAGAAATTTAAAAAAAACTATTGTAAAAAATTCCCTGAGTGTATTTTTGTAGATATGTTTGCGCAACGGAAATGAATCATGATTCTCACTCAAAGATAAGTAAAAAACTTTACATCTGACTCAGACACGTGGAAGAGAAAAGTCAGCAAAACAAGCATTATACACATCAAAATTCAGACTAATACAAAATACATAAAGGTGATCGTTGGATATTAGAAGAAAGACTTTGATGTTTTTCTTTGTTCAACAGCTTATTCATCCATAATGACAAGTCAGCTTGTTTTCACACTGTCTGGACTTCTTCACCATCACTAGGATTGACTCTCAGCTTTTGACATGCGTTTGTGCAGCAGTAACAATCAATCTTTTTATTCATTTTCTTATCTTGCAAAAAGATCGCAAATAGAAATGCTGTACATGGGGAAAGAAAGAAAACAAAACGCTAAAATTTACTGTATAAGAATTTTACAACACTCTGTACAAATATATGATTCATGTTTCATTATTCCAAAGGTTAATTCAGACTTTTAAAAGTCCAGAGTTGCTGACTACCTAATCATTACTATCACCGAAACATCAGAACTTCTTACAAGTGAATAAGACTCTATTATCTACTAAAAATAGGCTTAATGGTATTTGTTTTATATTATATCATCAGTAAGTGTTGAGCGTGAAGCAACCGACACAAACAACACGTTTAACGTAGATTACTTCAGTCACCAACTTCATTTAGAGAGATCACTGAAGACCAGGGGGCACAGCTATTTTGTCAGCAGTGTGAACCAGCAACCCCATCAGAGATTGAACCTGTGGTCGTCTCAAACTAATTCAAAACAGCTAACCATAAGTGATTTCGCTTATTTATAAAAGTATAGTGTATCATAGCACCTTACTGATACAGTCTTTAAAGTACCATGACTATTCGTCGCAGATAATTACAAAAAGCGACGAAACATTCCTTTTGTATTAACATGTAAACTGATATTATGAAAGGCTGTATTAGCGATATATAAATAGCCGTAACAGGCAACCTGAATCTCTGTTGTCTTGTATTAGAAGATGCATCACACATAGAGTTTCATAGTAATATTTATCTTCACTACACAAAATGCAAACATTATATCCTTATCATGTTTTAAGTGATTAACCGAATTGCCTGAAATCTTAGACTTATTTCTTTCTACCTACTGATGTGAAAATATAATGTAATATGTCCCCAGTTTTGCGAAGAGTTAAGCAACAGAATTTAATTTTTAGGAGCTCACCAAGTAAACACACGCCTCCACAAGCGGAAAAATTTAATAAGTAGATGTTAGGTGAAGATATAAACATTGTGACGACAGCACAAACAATGCTTCCAACTGTCTGGAAAAGTAATAACGTGAAGCAAATTAATGGTTAACAATGAGATCGAAATAAAACCATCATATTTCAACAGTAAAACACTATGTTTAGTAACTTTCCCAATGTACCTGATTCAGTGAAACAATCATCATTTTAGCAGCACATTTGGGTAATTTCTCAGGATATTATAATAGTGAAAGTCCTCAGTTGAAGGAATCTTTTTAACCGGAAGACATCTGCTAGTTTCTGAATGCTTTTATATTTGCGCTGCTTTAGACAGTATAATAAGATGGCATTCTTCAGTTTACTGTTAGATTATACTACAGAGGCCTATGTCTATGACTTGAAATAAGCAGGAGTAAGGTAAACAAAAGTTTGTAAATCCCCTTTAGCTTGCAGATATTACACCGCAAAAAGCCCCTAATTTCCTTTGGCTTGTGAATTAGTTTTCATCGGTTGACTGATGCTTGGAGTAAATAATTACCTAATAATGTCGTTACACATATGCATAACCACGTAAAAGTTAAGGAAATATTTTTAATTAGAGGAAAATTTTTTTTACGGATTCATCTTAGCATTACTGCCCAGCTGGTTGTTTTCTGCTGTTTGTTGTCCAAGATGAAATAATGAGGGGAGTACTGTACGGCATTCATCTATATTATAACGTTCCAAACAAACTACAAAGTTAACAGATTAAGGATGACTGAGTTCACGATCTGCTAAAAATAATTTCCTTAAGAATAACTGTACACCATCTATTAAGAGGATAATTAGAAAGTTACGAGGTCAATAAATTAGGCGATTGAATGTCATTTTTATACCTGTACTTTGACTACTCATTTCGTTAATAATCAATTTGTTTTTGATTCATAATAAGTCACATAACTTAACAGAAACATTCTACTTGAAATGCACAAAACGTCTTAGAGAGGTTCTGTTATGGCGAAGTGTTTAAAAGTAGCAGTGTTTTCAGCTAGTAACACTTTCTAATCCTACCTATTTTCTTTACTCTTTACCCTTTTCAACAGAATCGTTACAGTGATTGAAATAATATTTTCTAATAAGACTAAGGTCCACAAGTTACTATTTATAACTACTTATGTGGCAAACTGGTAAACATTTTGGATTCAGCATTAATTATAACTGCAAAACTGAGGCACACAATATATCTCATTTAACAGTAAAATGTTTTACTTACAAATCCAGTGAAGACTATACCATAGTTTGTAGGGAAGTATTTAGGACCAAATATCAATCCTGTTCCACCCGGCATGATAACAAACATACCGCTTAAAACCAAAAATAGAAGCCAAACCCAAATAGCATATAAAGCTTTCAGTGCCAGTGGCGGTGCTGATCCAATGTGTGGAAAGGTGAAGAGAATGAGAGCCCAGAGTAATAATACAATGCACATCGGCAACTGGAGAACAAGCATAAATAAGTATAAGAAAGAGCTGTTGTTCAGAAAGTAATAAAACATAAAAACAACAAGATGGCTTACGTTATCAAAATGTTTATTGAATGAACATATTTACGATAAAAGTGAGTTATTTCCTTTTAATAACAAAGAATCACTGTAATGAACCAGCATAATGAGGTAAAATTCATTCCGAAGAACAAAATACCTGACTATATTCTTCTAGACTTGAAAACAGCACATGAGATACACTTTTCTTAACTCCAGTAGTTAGTTTTTTATAGACCTTTATAACATTTCACGAAGTAATCAATACATTAACCATCTCATTAGAGCTTTACTCAACTAACATAGTAAGTAAAAAGCGCAACTAACAAGATAAATATCAAATTTTGATTATGAATAGCAAATATTTAAAATCAAAAGTGTGCTAAATGTTTTCATTATTTAAAACCAAGAGCTTGATAGCATTGCAAACTGTTTTGATAGTAAATCATAGCAATAAACTAAAATTTCCTTCTTTCAGTAATAGCGGTAATAGTTTGTGTTGATATTATATGGATGGTTTTTAAAGCTAATCAACGCCGATTAACTCACTGCTGAAAGCCAAAATAAACTGCATACCTGTTTCATCCTATTCAAAGAGTCACCAATTCATTCTTAAATAATTTCAATACTTTTGGAATACAGCTGAATAAATGAAATAACCGGAAGTGAACAAACGAAAATGCTACTCATCAAAAGTACGGAGATAAACTGATAAACACACAAGTTCGTGAATACATGATAGGAAGCTATTTGTACTGCTCCCTTCTTTCACATTTTGTCTTGAAGTGTTTGAGAAAAATAGCTGTAAATAATTTGTCAGTAACTATAGTCCCTTCAACAGTAATATCACTTTGCATATAGTACTCCAGTTTACTTTTTTTTTAAAAAACATTTTTCCTTCACGTTCCCCAGTGGAACATACGGCTTCAAGCTAGTGGTTTGAAGTTTCTGTAGCAGTGTTTATTTTACAGGATGGGGTTTCTAGCCTCATGCCCAACCTTTCCACTTTACCAGCATTATTTCGGGCTTAGCAAGGTAAAGGAGTGAGTCGGCCAGGGATCGAACCCCGGACCATGTACATGGTTGGCGAGCGTTCTAACCGCTATGCCACCGACGCCCAGTTTACTTTAGTTGAAATTAAATCGCATCAAATGTTTTGACTAATTTAACTAGAGAACCTAATGAGTGATATTGATGGAACAAAATATTCAGTAAACTGTATAATAACACTTCAATAAGGTATACGAATAACGGACTAGACTAGCATGAAGTAAAAATAAAGTTTTAGTTTCATGGGTTTATCTTTTTGGATGAAACGCGTATCATATAATCAGTTAAACGATGTTTCTGAACAAAATAATAGAAACAGAGTTTGTATTAAAAAGGTGTGTTATTTTTTCTCTGGGCCTCTCTTTTCTTCAGTCGGCCTAAGCTGTGTACAAAATGAATAGGGTCCAATACTTATTTCTCCAGATGTTGGATTTGTAGTGATTAGATTGATTCCACCGTAAGTACGCCACTTAGTAAAAGGAAGCAGCTGGTCACTAGTTCTAAATTCTGAGTGTTTCTTTAACAAATGTCAGTTTGCAACGAAGCCTATCTTAAGATATATATTTCTTACCAGGCCTAAACTAAGCACAGAAAACGAAAATTATCACAACAGCGATGGAATAACACAGGAGGTAAAATGAACAATTCCGAATATGTATTGTATCACGCTTCATCTGAAACTAGTTCTCAGCCTTGCATTAATTGAAAATGTGTATTTCTAACAGAAAGCCTCATTTAATAATGTATCATAAACTTCACTATTTGGTGTTAAAGATGTACTGAAAATATTTGGTAGCTTCCTAGAGGCAGACTTCATCTAAAGAAAGAAATCCCATAGTATATCAAGCAGCTAACTCTCTTTTATTAAGTCGCAATAGTTTAGATGACTTATTATTTAAACATTACCTTGAAAGAAACTCGATCCACTATTGCACCCCACATAATTCTGCCACCAGCATTAAAAATTGCTGACACACTGGCAACCATAGATAAGTACTGATCATCACTAATGTATTTTTGTCCAAAAAGCTATAAAAAAGACAGAAATTTAATTTTTATAGTACATGTACCTTAACAATGAATTCATTCATATATGCCTTTTCATTGATATAATCCACATGCATGGTTCTTTAATTAAATTTACTACAATTTACACAAAACGGTGGTTTACATCATAGTTCTATGTAAATAAATTTACACTACTGTTTCTTTCTTACTTAGGAAACACAACGTTTCAGCCTAAAACGATAATTTGTTTACCATCAGTTTTAATTTCACTTTCTTACAGAAAGTGCTATTTCATGATAAATTCGAATCATTTCAAATTTGTATTTTTTGTAAAGGTAATAATTTTGTTAGCCAGCGCTTTGGCCGCGCATTCTGAATTATTGCTATTGGAAGTAGATTTGACTCCCAGTCTTTGGAGTAAACCATAGAAAATACTTTTCTAATTCCACTATATAGTTCAGTCCTTTAATGTCTGCACGTATTGCTCTGAGAGAACTGTTTCACTTGTTCTTCAGTTTTCTTGTTTACTCACAAAGGAGAACACTAAGAGATACTTGAATGAATATCTTGACTTTTAATATATATTTATAATCAAGATTATTTTTTAAACTGCATTTATATATCACTTTAATACTCCCAACTGACGGTTTACAGAACTCAGAGATACCCAAACTTGTTCAAAATATTTGCCTAATCTGCGTGTAAACTGACATGTGTAAGTATATTTGATGGTTAGTCTTCTGCAATTTATATGATAATAGAGAATAACTCTAGTTTGTATTAATTAAAGAAAGTCTGTAATAGGTATTCTCTAGTGTTTGAGGAAGAGTAACAAGTTATCACATTACAAACATCCTAAGATCAGATAAATAATAAGTATTCAATGAAGTAGGAGAAACAGAACTTAAACAAACTTTCCGCTAACCTTGTATGCTGATGTTATGACTGTAATAGGTATGATGATTAGAAACATTATTATCCATAATAAATAGAAGTCGATTTTTCGGAAAATTCTTTTTGGTGGTACATTAATTTGACTAAAATATAACAGATATGTTAACTGAATGTACTGGTGGTACCACATGAGTATAAAAATGATTAAAACATAAGTTTATGTTTGTTGATGCAGTGGAAATTCTTATGTATTCATTATGTCAATTTGTGGAATATGCTAAAGAGATTTGATGAAACTATTGTTTGTTCTAACTCTAAAGACATGCTCGATGATTCTTGAGCTTTTTCTGAAAAATGTCTCTGTTAACGAATTAATTTTTTGACTCTACTTTATGGCCCATAGACCTATGGCCAAAGTTTTTTTTCATGCTTTACGTGTTCCAATTCACATCTCGATAGCCGAATGATGACTTTGTAATGACTATTGAAGTGTGTGTGCGTTGGTCGCGCAGTGGTTAGGACGCTCGCCGACCGTGCACACGGTCCAGGGTTCGATCCCCGGCCGGCGCACTCCTTTACCTCGTTAAACAAGTAATGAGACTGGTAAAGAGGAAAGGTTGGGCATGAGGCTAGCAACCTTATCCTGTAAAAATAAACACTGCTACAGAAACTTCAGGCCACTAGCCTGTAGCCCTATGTTCCACTGGGGAACGTGAAGGAAAAATTATTATGTTATTGAAGTGTATAATTTTGAAGAGTTCTTCTTTTTACTTCTGATGTTTTTTCTATTTTACAGACAAAGCCTATCAGACTGTTACTCAATAAAAAATCGATGATGCTCTCCAGTTTCTCTTCGTGTGCATTCTAAAATCACATAGTTTTGTCTAAACGAAGCAAAATGTACATCGCTGACACTGTCTGAGAGATTGATAACTTGAGATATCATAGGGTTAACTGACTCTGACGTCACAATCCGAAGAATAAGACTTTACCTTAACATGATAGTCTATACAGAAATAACTTATATTACTGTTTCATATAACTTCCAATTATCTTAGCTAAATATTTTGCAAATACGCATACGAAAATTTTAAAATATGCTACATCAATGAACTTTTTAAGAAACAACAGTGTAAATTAGCCGAGATTTAAAATAATTAATCACAAAAATAGTATAGAATTGATTATACTAATCATTGAGGATCTTATACAAGATTAAGTAATACTGATAGAAAAACTCACTCTTTTACTGCTTCCTGTACACCAGATTTGTTCTGAAAGATCATGTAAATAAACATATTACTCAATATTATATATTTTTAATGAATAAGGTTTCACTTGCTTTATATTATATATACATATAATCAGGTGTTTCTGTGTAGTTTGGAAAGTTCCTCAAAAATTAGGTTTGTCGTAGCAACTTCTGATAGTTGAATTATTAACGAAATATAAGAATGATGCTTTTCTTTATCCAGAGAGATACACGAAAGATGTCAGAAAATAACTGATACTATGGGAGGTGAATGTCACTTTTCCTAATAATGGAAAGAGGCTTAATTAAAAGGTTTCTCATTGATTCATGTAGAATCGTTTGAAAAGATTTTTTGTTTATATTCTCAGTTTTACTAATGAAAATGCCTATCCTGATCACATACATACATTCCTATTTGCCTAAATTACTGTCTCAGCAGAATGTGTCAAACACATCCTTATAGGTTCCAGTCTTACTTTATACAACAGACAGATACAGTCACTTTCTGTGGTTTACCCTACAGATGATGAATGGATGAATTTTGAAAGTAGTCGGGTGTTTAACTCGATCTGTTGCTGTTTGCTTTTTATATTATTACATGAATATAACAATCATGGGTTTAACCACTATTTATTATTAATGGTATGCTTTTCACTCAACTAATATATATAAATATTTGTGGTTCATACCAGTCTGCCGACCCAAGTAGAGTTTAAAACTCACTTATTTATTTCTTCTTCTTTAAGTTTTATAAAAGAGAATATGCATCGACCACTGAAAAAATGAAAATGATATTCGAAAATTTCTCACTGTTTGAAGAACTATCAAGTACATTTGCACCTGAATCAATAATTATTATTATATATTATTGTATCCTTTAGTTCCTAGAGGAACATAGGGCTTCAGCTGCGCACCTCCATTGACTTCGGTTTTTGACAACTTTTTCACCCTGCTCCAGGTCTGTCCACATGCTTTCATCTCCTCCTCGCATGACCTCCTCCAAGTCACCCTTGCACTGACGACCAACTCCCCGCCTCCCTTTCGGGTTCCACTCGAGGGCTTGTCTAGTGATGTCACTTGATGGTTTCATCAGCGTATGGCCAATCCATCTCCATTTCTTTCTGCCTATTTGTTTCACAATCGGTTCCTGATTGGTTCGCTCCCAGAGATCCCTGTTGCTGATCTTTTCTGGCCATCTGATCTTGAGTATTGAGCGGAGACAGTTGTTAATGAAGGTTTGAAGTTTGTTTGAGATGCTCTTTATGACTCGCCAAGTCTCTGATCCGTATAGTAGCACTGACTTCACATTGGAGTTGAAAATCCGGATCTTATTTTTGATGCTGATTGCTGTTGACCTCCACACAGATTTGAGGGTAATGAAAGCTTGTCTTGCTTTTCCGATTCTGACTTTGAATTCTTGCACAAGATATGCATGTTAGATTACACTTTAGTTCCAGGATAATCACTGTCAAGAAAGTAATCAGTGGGCATAACGTTTGATGAATTAAAATATATAAAATATTAATCAAATATCTACTTACTTTCTGTTTTTTCTCAGACATTAAAGAAAACCGATTACTTGCGCCGCGAATAATATTCCACCCAAAATAAGCAATGCATTAGGAATACGACGCAGGACATCAGGATCATCAAAGAGACTTTGTTTGCAAAAAAGTGTTAAAAACAAATGGTGTTAGTAGAATAGAGCCGTAGTGAAGCTGATTCACATTATAACTCGGTAAAATAGAAGCTCTTCATCAATAATGAATAAATCAAAGGTTCATTTGCCGTTGCTTTCCGAAGAAAAATGAATTAGTTAGCACTTCTTGACCTTCCGTAATTTTCCCGAGTCTCCAATAAAAGTGATGGTCACGTCATACATCTGAATAATGCTTTGTTTTAAATACACGATACAGTGACATGATTATCTTTGGTTTTAACGGTGCAACAGTTTTCATCATTGATACTTCTGCTTACATTTCTTAGACTAAATCCATGTGAACATTCTAATTAAGGTGCCCTATCCCTAAACTTATCTTTATTATTACGGTGACATCAGTTTGACCATACATCCCTTCAAATCAAGCATATGGGAATCCTTACCAGAAAACCCAATATAAGTTTCACTAAAATTGTCTGCGAAAATATTTGTGTTATAAATAAACCTGAATGCCAGCAAAAATAAAACAACTACATCGTATCAAACTCTCAGTATTTGATATTCTATTTTAATAATATTTTCATACTTTATAAGACAAAAATTGTAATCCGATCGCAAAGTTCTCTTGTGTAACAAAGACACTTATGGTGGATTGTTTTCTGTGAATATATAAGAGATAGTTTTATGGGCTCGCACTGATTATTTGAAATGTGTTTCTACAAGCTGAGTGGACAAATCACGCTAGGCAGTTTACAAGTCCCTTGATAGATAGGCATATGTCATACCTGCAACAAAGATGACATGAGTTAAAAAAGCCAGACAAAGCTTCGGTAGCCTTGTAGACACTTTTAATTAATTAGATCATTATTACCGATGCGACCTCCCACATACTTAAAGTGATCATTACGCCCAAATATCTCATTTAGGACTCTTAAACTAGTTACGAACCGGTGCAGTATTGTCATGTTACATTGGGCAGGGGCCAGATTGCTGCTCAAGGTGCTTGAAAGACTACTCAGTTTTATGGCGTCTTCACCGAAAAGGCCGGCATTATTTGAACTATGCAGACCGAAGGGACGCTCTCCATGGTAGTAAGTCAATCACTGAGAAACAAAAGCTATAGAGTGTCATACCAATAAGTACACTATGCTTTGCGGAACAGGCAGTGCCTTTGTTTTTATAATCTAGTAAATTTGAAGCCTCTTAAATAAACTGACGTCTGCAGTATCGTCCACAGAACTGCAAACAAAATCACCAAAACAAGCCGTTTCAGATGAGATTGGTAGTTTTTATGTGTGCACTCATGTCCCTACCTCTGATCTAACTGTTAGCAGGGTAAACTCTTGTCGTACATCTAACTTTTGGGTTGGCAATAAAGGATTTACTGCTTTCAACTTTGGAAAAACTTCTACTGACAAGTTTTGCTACAGTAGTTGTTAAGTCATTTTAAACGTCGTTTTCATGAGATAAACCATGCACTGGACTGATTGAACAAATGTTACTTATGTTCACTTATGGTATACTACAAAATCACTCGTTTTATAAAAGCTTCTTAGACACGCAATTATATATGACTGCAGCGTTAAATTTAGGAGAGACGAAAAATTCTATGTAAGCTAACGAAATTATTGTCATGATCCCGGAAAGGTATTTTGTTGAAGTAATGGGGTATCCAGAACATTCATTTCATCTAAACGGTTTATAAAAGTCACAAAAGTTCTATGGACAAACTTACTGTGTGTCTTTGTTGACAGGAACGTTATTCGGGTTTATAATGGCTGTTTGAATAGGTGTAAAAACAAGTGCTCCCAATCCAAACCCACCAACAACTAAACCTACGACCAGAAATCGTCGTTTGGGAAACCACTAAAATATGAATCAGAGAAGGTAAATAGTAATAATGACAAATACAGGCATCGGAAAGAATACTGGGAAGTTTATGAAACAGCGACGCTTTAACTGAGCCATTTCGAACCTGGCTGTATTAACGTACGATATATCAGGTTCAAAGGGATTTTATAATTACATTTATTATTCTGAAATGCCGAGGTGACCGAGTTACTCCTCTGTCATATATAATACTGATTCAGGGTGAATACTGCTGAGTATTTGTGCTTAAATTCAGCTGTGTCGATACTTCGGTGGTTCAGCGGTAGAATGCTCGCCAACCATGCATGTGTCTCGGGTTCCGATATCCGACCGACGTGCTTCAAAAACTGGCTAAGTCAGCAGTAAGGCCAATAAAGAGGAAAATCTGTGTGTGACGCTAGCAATTCTGCTCCGTAAAATATAATACTTGCTACCGAAATTTCAAAACTCTAGTTTCAGGCCCTATGTTCCACTCTGAATATAAAGGAACATAATATGGAAATATAATCAGCTGTAGCCCATACGCTTGTGTGCATCAATGCTATTTTATATTTGTGGTTAACCGTTTGCTTAAACTTTTCTCCTACATGCTTAATTAAAGGAAACCGAACAGACATTTTCAGTGGTTTTAATTTTGTATCTAATTACTTACAAATGATGACGCTTTGTATCCGTAGTACTTCAAAGTAACTGTGACTGTCTGGTTTTATGGCTAATCAAGACTGAGTATTTCTGTTTTTTGCTTTATTTGAGGTTTAATTTTGAACTCCCTCGTAAATAATGTGTCCTAAAATTAATAAATGTTTCCGGAACTTATTATCTCTTGAGCCTTTTAAAAACTTAAAATTTGAACCTTGCTGTAATGAGGTATCTTGCCAAATTTTACAGCTGGAAGCATGGTGTGTTCAGTCAGCGTATGGCATAGATTATATCAGGAGACTAAGAAATTCTATCACTCTGACATCTATGAGCGCTATATGTGATTACATGATATTCGCGTCCTTTCTTCTATGTTACAATTGATTAAAAGCAATAAAAAAGGGCAAGTCTTACTTTAGCTGCTACAGCCATCACTACAGAGTATCCAAACCCAAGACCCAAACCCATGAGCACTGAATATGTTATAATTACGCCAATATATGACCTCTGAATTGTAATGTACGTTAAAAAGACACTCCCACTGGAATAAGAAGAGAAATAGTACATAGAGGGAAACTATTTGTCGAACGTGTTTAAGTACGTCATTAAATAGCTGCTTTCTATTTCTAAAGTGATCACCCAATGCATTATTTCAGTCTCTTAATTTGCACCTTTCACCTCAGTATTTTTGTTTGTTATCTTTCTAATGTGATTATGAAACTCGAAATCCTAGTTCTGAAATGGAAATGCTATTTTTCTGCTCTTCTCAAGGCCAGTGGGAAAAATGTTAGTTTAAGATTGTAAAACACATTCTAGCGACCCAAAACTACTCGTTGTATAGATGACCCCGGGTACATTACTGAGTGCTGTTTACCTAACTCCTAAGGATCAAAATCACATCAAAAGGTATAATGAGTTTAAATAAATTGCAAAAATTATAAACCTCTTTATATATCTAAAATCTAAACTTTCCTGAAAAAGTGATCATCTCTGTACAAACTAAGCTGTCAAATTTTTATAGTTTGGATTAAAATTTGTTGTCACACTACTGACTTAATTAAGCTGAATATAAAGGAAATAACTCTTGTCCTTCTTTTGCTTGTAGTCGCTTATTGTCTGATTATTTTTTGCATCTACTGATTGACAATCGCTTCTGAAATTTTCTTATGACACCTTATAGTCTTTTATTTTTGGTCTATTTTATATTTAGGGACACAATAATCATAAAACTTCCTTAAATAACTCCATAGATCCACCAGGTTTTAATCTTCCGATATTAATGAATGCACAGTTGAAAATCACTATTTCAGAATAGACTTAAATCTGTGAAATTTCCTACCCACGATGAGCTTCTGCAACATCCTGCTCACTGTGAAAATTTATATAAAATGGAAGTGATTAATATTAGTTCTGTTATGTTTTGTTTTAGACGCTGAAAGTGATTCAAGTTTACTGCACAAACATTCATCATCAGTGAAGAAAAAATGAAATGTTAAGAAATTCTAAGTACTAGACCCAAGATAAGAACGTTATAAGTCTACAGGCATTGGTGAATCGAGTGGGTCTTCAGTTCATATCAGCTCCTAAATCATGTGACACTGAAAAATGGTTTGAAAAATAATGAAACGTGCCTGTGAAGAATACAGCTTACTGACACAACCACACGAAAACCGGCTTTCTCATGCACAATACCACCGAGTGCCATAGTTGCACCTTGGCAAGCCAGAGCCAATGCTGAGAGCCAAACAGATGTCTTAGTTTCAATATTTGGGTCAACGTACGCTTTGATATAACTAAGGATATATGGAACCATATTTGCTGACAAAAGAATAAATAAATAAATGGGAAAAAAACCTATTGTGTAGAAGTATCCGAAAGTCATATGAATAAGAACTGCTCCAATAATGCACAAAGTTCCCATCAACAGATTCTTTTTCTTTCGCTCCTAAATATTTTTAATATGAGGTTTATTAAAATGAAGGCAATACCATATTGAGCTTGAGCTTTGGACATTTTAACACCATGTTTTTCTTGCGCAGTAACGAAAACTACAAATCACAGTATCGCAATTGCTTAAATAGGAGATTAAATAATAACAGTTAGGTTGAATTATTAAAACAAAATTGGTGTTCGTCAATAAAATTCTTCCGCGCTTGAAATGATTTAGCTAGGAATCGTGTTTTAATAGTTTCACGTAAAGCAAGTAATCTCCATTCGTTTACATGCCTTCAGTAGGAATTATATGTTAACAGCTTCTAATATCCAATATTGTTTTTTACGAGCTGGTGCAAACCATTTTGATCTATTTGTGCTCACCTCTTGGTTGTGAGGTAGAGGCTCCTGGTCCTAGTTCGTTCCGTCGCTTGGCTGTCGTAGCTACGGTCGACTGCAAAAGGAGAGGTGAAGAGATAATTACAAATGGTTTGTAGTATGTGATGTCTTTAGACCGTGTTGCTACTGTCGTCCGGTATCGTCGAAAAAGAAAAGAAATAACACTGACAGATATGATAGGCGTAGGTTATCCAGACTAAAAGAAAGGAATAAAACGTGGAAACAGACTGCTGATGAAGTCTGATGTTTACATATATATAGTACATTTATGCATACATATACACATGGGCCACTGTCCTTGTGGCGCTGCATTATTGTTTAGCCTCAGCTTAAAGCTCTCCACGGATGGTGCCATAGCTACATTCACTGGTAAAGAGTTTCAGAGACGGAAAACTAGTGGTAAACCAAATGGAAGTTCACTTTAGTCTTTTACTTCTTCTGAGGTATCCTAATGGTTTGCCACGAGGAGATTCATACCTACTCTATTGCAGAACGTCTTCGTTTAGGGGATTCTTATCACTTGTTATCTCATAGGCAGTAATGAAGTCCCTCGTAAGCCAACCACATCTAACTCTGGAGGGACCTAATTTGTTGAATCGTTTTACGTATAGTTTTTTTCGAGGACCCATCATGCCTTTTGTCTTAGGACTTCTTCCAAAACGTTTGCGTCCCTTCAAAGCAGTGGAGGTGCAGTGATATTGTGCACTTTGAGGTGTGGTCTGACTTATGTTTTGTGCAACCTCAGGAAGATCTCAGGAGTGAGTGCACCTTAGTGTCTCCGTGTAAAGTGTATGACCACATATGCCCTCACTACATTCCATTGTAGCTCACACTTATGTCCATTTTTGTCGTAAGAACTAGACATAAGTCACGCTCCGACATTGCTCGGGACAAGCTTTCGTTGCCCAGAGTATTACTTGCATCCTGCGGCCTACAATCGCATAATTTTATTTCTCTGCCACTGCCCAGGGTTCCAGAAGTTTTAGGTCTGCTTACAGCCCATATGAGTCTTCCGAGAACTTTATCATCTTCCAAATCTTAACGTCTTCAGAGAAAGGAACAGTTGGGGAGCTTAGACGGCATATTAGGTCACTGAAAAAATCAAAAACATCAGCTGCCCTAGGATAAATCTCTGTGATGCTTCTAATGACGAGCTGTGCCAGGATGATCTAACACGACTGAGCTTCGTGCAGAACTTCCCTTCATCTGGGTAGTCCTCCAACCATGACAGAAGCAGCCCACCTATACTTGTTTGAGTTATTTTGGTCAGGCGTAGGTCACAGCGGACTGTGTCAAATGCCGTCTCAAAGTCTAAGGAGGTCACACAGACTAAAATGTTCATGTCCTGCACGTTTTTCCAAGCTGATAGTAGGTTTGTTACACAGGATCTGCCTCTCCTGAAACTACGTTGTGCTCCATGGAGTCTAACCTTTATGTCAAAGTGTTCCCTGATGTGATCATCAATTATAATTTCCAGTACTTTTTATGCCACTTAGGGTAGCGCTACTGGTCTATAACTGGTGATAATTTGCCTGCCCTTACCCCTCAAAATAGGAAAACAGATGGCTCTTTCTTACCCATTTGGAAATCTCACTAAGTCCACGGAGTGATAGAACAGCTCACATAAAGGCCTACAGAGAGCTTCTGATTAGTGATTCACAACACATGACCCGAAGTCATTAGAACCTGTGGACTTTCCAGATATGATTCTCTGTAACTCTCCTACTTTCGTTGCTGAGTTCAATTGGGGCGTAGTCACTAGGTTTTCCCTAGATAAGATAGTAGTACCGCCTTTTCAGTCTATATTGGTAATTCTCACATTACTGTTTAACTGTTTGGAAAGGGCCTAACTGGCAGTTTTAGGCAACTCCAAGCTAGTGAGACATTGGCCGTTTGCACCTACTAAGGCGCATCCCTCAGGTTGATAATTTTCTCTTCGGCACGAATAGGAACAGGCTTTTGGGGTTCGACAGGAGTATTTTTGCAAGGGATGCCTAAAATAACCTCCCGTCACCCCTGAATCTTGTGCTGCTGATACATATCAATGTATGTTTGTTTGACAGTCTGATATATTTTGCTATGTATATATGGATCGATATTCTATTATAATTAGCCAATCATGTTAAGACTGTCTATTGATTTGTTCATTTTGAATATTCGCTCACACGCTTGTGTTCACACACTTGTTCGGACATTCATATACATTTTTGCTCTCACACTCTTGTGGGACAGATTTGATTCTCCTTGTGTTTGGAAAATAGAAGTATCATCGCGAACCTAGTGGTCTTCTGATTTCCGTCTTTCTTGCGTCAGGACTATTAAATTCTCGACCGGGTACATAACCGCTGCACCGGTTCCAGGATTCCAGGGATGCGTCCTAGTCTGACTAAGTCTTGAATGTTCGCCACGTAGGCTAAGCCTTCCGCCAGGTTTGCAGAATACGTCGCGTACCTCTCTTCATCCGTGTGGATATTTTCTTTGGCTATGATGTAACTAGAGGGACGGTATCTGAAACTGTACAATGATTAATCACTTTCGCCACTTCCTAGTGTTCGTCCATGGGTAACTCAGCCCATTGTATGGGCCACAAAGCATCTCATAAAAGCCCTCGCACTTATACTCATTTCTATGTCAGCAAATAGTACGTGTTAGCCAGGTTTCAGTCAGGATTATCATTTTGAAGTGTATGTGCTACTGGGGCTTTCTAAGTTCACCCACTTTCTCTCTCAGCCCTATAATATTTCTGCACAGGCAGCTGACAGAGAGTTTCACCACGTCAGTATGCTGCGGGTTAGTTGCTACCACGCTTACAGCTGGTGTGAAATTTAATATTAGAATTAGCTGGTCTTTCCCGACTGAACCGGCCTGTAGTCAAGTAATACTGATGTAAACACAAATATATGTACTGATATATATATTATATAAAAATAATACTACGTTAACTAAGAAAACAGGGAAGAATACGGTCATTTCACAGCACTCATCTGGAAGGGGGTATGTAGTTTGTAACTGGAATGTACATCTGATGCAGTAGATGCAGAAGTCACTATTTTCTTATCCCCAGCAGTCGGCTATGATTTCTGCTGAAGATACATTTGAGGAATGGTGTTCAGATTGAAAATTTCTGAATTTACATACAGCTAGATCACCACGATCTTTTCAAAGACATGATCTTTTCACATCAAGACCTATTTTGTGGAGCTACATAAGGTAGAGTGCGTTGGTGTTACAGTGGTAGGATAATCGCCAACCATGAATTTGTTTCGGGGTTCAACACTCAACCGACTCATTCTAAAACCTCGCTAAGACGGTGATAAGACCAGGAAAGGGAGAAGGTTAGGCGTGAGGCTAGCAACTTAGAATAGGTGAAACACTCATTGGCTGACTACAGTCGCTAGCAGACTGACAGTGGAGAAGAGGATGGTGAAGCGGAGGATGAACTAGTGTAGAAATGAGTGAAGTCAGCATAAGCTGGATATAATCTTTAACACGTTGTTTATATTGGTAACATGGAACGCTAGGAGGGATAACAGACGCACTAGTAGCTGAAGTAGAACAAAGTACAGGTGTGGGGAGCATAGCAGGTAGACTTCGGAGGGCGCTATCTGGAAGGAGATAAATACATATGCCACTGGTGGAAGATAAAGAGTGAAATGTGAATCAGCCGGAACATTGATACATGCTGAATAGTTGCAGTCGCAAGTCTCTGTGAGGTCAATACCCGTCCACATAGTTTTGTTCCTTACAATAGGCCGGATAGGAAGCTGCGGAAGGAGAGGTTTTCGTAGATTGGAAGAACTGCTATCTTGTCAAACTTAGATCTTATAATATGCAAGAAGTGGGATATCAACGTAATATTGTTCACTTTGAGAAACCCAATTAAACCCATCTACCCATTAAGACTGAACGATAATAAAGCGGTTGATACAGGCAACCAAAAACCAGGCACACTATAGCAAGCGATAATAGAGTGTCAGAACATTGACAACTGTCGAAGTAACTTCACCAGTAACAATAAAATCACAGTGCAAGAAAACCAGTCGAATAAGGACGACAGAACAGGCTGGCTTGCTTGGAACCATTGGACACGGTCTTCAAACCTAGCACCTTGCTTCTCAAAACCTGGGTTACAACAGTGTCTGAAGCTGGCTAGATTCAAGCCAAACAAGTCATATCAGGATACCGCTGCATATTGCACGTCATCGTTGAGTGAGAGCTGAAATGGCAGTTAGCTCTTCAACTTAACTTTACCGAATTTGAAAAGTCTTCGACAACTTCGACAGATAAATTATCTGGCGTTTGCTTCAGCGCTACAGAGCGAAGTGCTTATGAATTTTTTAGACCACTCTCACTTAGCTAAACATCACTTACGTTCTAGAGAGGTAAGGATGAATATGTTAAAACCAGATTTAGATAAGCAGGACGGACGCTAACTGCTTTGGTATCGGTGTGGTAATCTCTGTCTCCTAGCACAAGTAACTTGATCCGAAATCTTAATATTAATATCAAGTTAATGCTCCTATATGGCTCAAAGGATCGATGCCTGGGTTACCAAAAGAAGACTACAGATAGACGCTGTAGCAGTCAGAAATGTAAGTAATAAGGGGCTCTTACAGGCATCTGAGTAGGTCTGCCACCAGATAGTTATATGCAGAATGAAATGAAGATAGGTTTAACATAAGCTGATGCGAAT